GGCGCGATGCCGATTTTCACTTAAAAATATATGTTTGCAATTGAAAATAAGCCCATCTCAGGCACTGCAGTGTAAAATGGAAATGGGAAAAAACTTTCACACCACTTGTTCCCTTAATTCATTTGGAGTTCCTTGCCCATTGGCAGTATTACCTTGGCAGTACCCATTATTATTTACTATTTCCTACCTAGGATGAGTTGCTCTAACAACATATTTCCCAGGAAACACAGGCGTGAAATAAAAGCTCCCAACATCATTCGTCACAGTCTCCCTCTTCTCCTGACTTCCTTCCATCAACAGTTCCAACTTGACACCCTCAGGTCCTTTGGTCTGCCCCAAAATCTCAACTTGACCAGTTATCCCAAATCCTTTGAACACAAAATTTATATCCTTTCCAGAAGAACACAGATCAGTCTTTCCATCAACATTCAGAGCTACTTGATTGGGTTCGAAGCTCCATCCTGGTGGTGGATAGATTTTCAGGACATATTCTCCACGGTCGTACAAAGGGAGGAAGTAGTAGCCGTTGGGGGCACAGTCTGTTTTCTCGCGGAGGCTGCCTTGTTTCGTAAATCTGGGAAAAGGAAAGATTAATGAATGGTTTATGAATTGGATTGAACAAAATCCTGATGATCCTTTAAGAAGATGTAGTTGTACCAGATAAATAAATCTAAGCAAAGTCAAAATTGTGTAACTGAATTGTTTGTTACACCTGATCCAGAATTAGTGGAAAGAATTACAAGATACACAGGTAAACTAAATTAGATGTAATTAGGTCGCATTTTGCCTTAAGGAAAGTTGCATGAACTTTCATGAACAAGGATTCAGATTATAAGACATAGATGGTCTCATCCTAAAAACGCGGATCATTATTTCTAATTTCAAAAGATTTTTAGAATTAACCCTTTCCACTCGGATGCCGCTCCGGCGGTAAAATACATTTTAATTCTGGATTTCGCGAGTGGAAAAGGTTAAACCACCTTTTCGCAAGCCTATAATATTTTAGGATGTTTGTTTAGAGACTCTAATCTAATCAATGCAATTTATGCGGTTTTTAATTTTTTTTTAAATGGGTCAAATTTATAAAGGTCAACATTTGTCATATACACATTTTTTTTCCCGTTTAGGTGACAAACTTAAAATTTAGCAAATAGGATTTTCTGATGAAAAATAAACTCATCTTTCGAGAAATTAATAAAATAAAGATACTGCATGGTTAATTAAAATAACACATCAATCACAAATCTTACATTTTGATTTACAATGCCAACAATAATCAAAATGCTCGGAATTAGAAAAGTTTTCTAGAAAGATTTAGAACATTTTTTCTCTGACTTTGTATTTTAATTGTAAAACTACAGTTTGAATAAGTCAAACTTGTAGTAGAAAAGATTTCTAGAAAGATTTGGAACATTTTTTCTCGAACTACAGTTTTGAATAAGTCAAACTTGAATTAGAAAAGTTTTCTAGAAAGATTTAGAGCATTTTTTCCCTGAGTTTGTATTTTATTTGTAAAACTACAGTTTGAATAAGTCAAACTAGTCGTAGAAAAGATTTGTAGAAAGTTTTGGAACATTTTTTCTCGAACTACAGTTTTGAATAAGTCAAACTTGAATAGAAAAGTTTTCTAGAAAAATTTAGAACATTTTTTCTCTGAGTTTGTATTTTAATTGTAAAATTACAATTTGAATAATCAATCTTGTCGCAGAAAAATTTGTAGGAACATTTGGAACATTTTTTTCGAACTATAGTTTTGAATAAGTCAAACTTGAATTAGAAGTTTTCTAGAAAGATTTAGAAACTTTTTCCTCTGAGTTTGTATTTGAATTGTAAAACTACAGTTTGAATAAGTCAATCTTGTTGTAGAAAAGATTTGTAGGAAGATTTGGAACATTTTTTTTTGAACTACAGTTTTGAATGAGTCAAACTTGAATTAGAAAAGTTTTCTAGAAATATTTAGAAAATTTTTCCTTTGAGTTTGTATTTGAATTGTAAAACTACAGTTTGAATAAGTCAATCTTGTCGGAAAAAAGATTTGTAGGAAGATTTGGAACATTTTTTTCGAACTACAGTTTTGAAAAGAATTAGAAGTTTTTTAGAAAAATTTACAACATTTTTTCCCTGAGTTTGTATTTTAATTGTAAAACTACAGTGTTGAGTAAGTAAATATCAATGCAGAAAAGTTTTGTATAAACAATTAGGACCATTTTTTCTTGAGTTTGTATTTTATTTGTAAAACTACAGTTTTGAGTAAGTCAATATCAACTTAGAAAAGTTTTATATGAACAAATGGAACTATTTATCCTCAAGTTTGTATTTTAATTGTAAAACTGCAGTTTTGTGTAAATCAACATAGAAAAGTTTCTGTATGAACAATTGGTACTATTTTTCTTCGAGTTTGTATTTTAATTGTAAAACTACAGTTTTGAGTAAGTCAATATAAACTTAGAAAAGTTTCTGTATGAACAATTGGGACTATTTTTCCTCGAGTTTGTATTTGAATTGTAAAACTACAGTTTGGAGTAAGTCAATATCGACTTAGAAAAGTTTTGTAGAAACAATTGGTACTATTTTTCTTCGGGTTTGCATTTTAATTGTTAAATTACAGTTTTGAGTAAGTCAATCTTAACTTAGAAAAGTTATGTATAAACAATTGGGACTATTTTTCCTCGAGTTTGTATTTTAATTGCAAAGCTACTGTTTTGAGTAAGTCAAACTTGTCATAGAAAAGATTTGTACAAAGATTTTGAACATATTTTCACTGCCTTTGTATTTTACTCGTAGAACTACAGTTTTGAGTAAGCCAAAAAACCTTCTTCGAAAAGTTTTGTAGGTAGGTTTGGAACATTTTTCCACTGACTTTGCATTTTATTCGTAAAACTACAGTTTTGAACTGAGTAGGCTTTGACTCAAAAGACTTACATAAAGATTTGAACATTTTTTCCCTGAATTTGTATTTTAATTGTAAAAATGAATAAATCAAAGGCGACTTTGAAAAGTTTTGTATCAACAATTAGGATTGTTTTTACTTGAGTTTGTACTTTACTTGTAAAACTACAGTTTTGAGTAAGCCAAACTCGAATTAGAAAGGTTTTCTAGAAAAACTTTCTTCTTTTGGTTTTGCAAACAAAGTATTGACAGAGAGTCAATTTTTCTTTGAAACAAGCTTCCACAACCAAAACTTAACCAAACCTCAAAACTAAACTATAAACCACTTTCACTTCAAAAATATCAACAAAAAAAAAAAAACTAATAATTTAATTTACAATTACCACACACACACATTCACATTTACACACTTATCAAATAATGCAACTCATTTACAAAAACTTACAATTTTATTTCAACTTTGGAAAAATCCATATTTATGTGACTTTTTATAAAACCGCCACATCCTAAAATATCTTGTGTTTTAATACAATTGATAAATATAAATAATAATAATAAATTTAATATATAATTGTTCATTTTTGTTTAAATTAATTTTAATAACCTAGAATGACACTGAGTGACTCGTGACGTATGTCTGACGTTTTATAAAGAAAAAAATATCGATAATTGACATAATTTATCAATAAGGGATATAAGGTTAATTAAATGTCATGGATTTGCGAAGGTTATATAAATGTGATGGATTCGTATAGAAAAATTGATTTAGTTTGAATTTAAACTAAATTAAAAAGTTTTAAGTGAGTAAATAAGAGTTTATGATAGTTTTAAACACAATGGTTTTCGATATAATTTTTCTTCACTTTATATTTTATTTACCCTTCTTTTTATAGAAGCAAAAATATCGATAATTGCAATATTTTATCGATAAGGAATAAAAGGTTAAATAAATGTGATGGATAGGGAAAGGTTAAATAAATGTGATGGATTCGTACACAAAAGTTGATTTTAGTTTGATTTTAAACTAAATTAGTTAGTTTTAATTAAATAATTATGAGCTTATGGAAGTTTTAAAAATATTGGTTTTCGATATAATTTTTTTTCACTTTATATAAATTTATTCATATAGAATTTTATCGTTTATTGTTTTACTATAATATATAGATATATTATATTATATATTTATAGATAAAAGAAGAGTATATAGATCGCTCTCTCGGGCAATATTTCTTTGCCACGTTAACTGTCAACTTGCCGGGGTTAGTTCGAGCTGCTCTCCCTCGGTGCGCGCGCGTCGACCGTAGAACGGGTGCGTACAAAAAAGAAGTGCACCAATTTTATAGACCGTTTGAATTCAAAATTAAAAAAAAAGAAATTGAATTTTAAAAAGCATTTATTTTTAACAATAGTATTTTACACACATGGTTACAAAAGATTAATCCTTATAAGCTAAACACAAAATAAATAGAAATGTATATACACACACTTATATATATATATATATATATATATATATATATATATATTGTATAGGAGCCAGCAACGTTTTCAAAACAAGCATTTTAGTCAGGCTGGTTTTTTGGTATGTGGTCCTTGGTGCTCTCTCGGTTAGGGTAAGGGCCGTCTGGCAGCTGGAAGTGGTTGCGTTAATTAGTGCGCAGCCAATTTGTACAGCGCGATTTCAAAATTTTGAAAGCATTTTAGTCAGCCCAATTTTCGTTTTTTTGACTTCGAATAGGTTTACCAGACTCAAATTTTTTGTTGCCAGACATTTTAAGCGCTGCTAAATATGTGCCAGACGCCAATTTATTTATTAATTTTTTAAAAATTCAAATCATTTTAGTCCGTCTGAAATTTTAGTATTATGTTCGTTAAGGGTATAAACGCGTAAAATTAATTTGCCAGACGTTTCTGCGGTTGTTAACCATGTCTGGCAAGCAAAAATGTCTGGCAATATGATACTAGTTTATAGCATTTTAGTCAGTCCAATTTTCATTTTTTGACTTGATATTTGATTTGATAACTTGAATAAGTTATCCAGATTCACATTTTTGTTGCCAGACATTTTGGGCGCTGCAAATATGTGCAAGACGCCAATTTATTCATTAATTTTTTTTAAATTTCAAATCATTTTAGTTCGTCTGTAATTTTAATATTATGTTCATTAAGACAAATTGCTGGAACTTCCCGTAGCATTTTTTTTTTAAAAGATTAACATTTTTGAAAATAATTTACTCTGAAAAAATTAGATTTTTGAGAAACTACACATTTTTGATAAAAATTTACTGTTTTTTGAACAAAAAAAGACTTTTTGAAGAAAAATTTATTTTGAAATATTTTGAAAATTCTGAACTTTTTTTCAAAGCAATCGTACTGCTTTTACTGCATAGAGACTAAATATCGAAGCGCGTAAGCGCCGCGTCGCCGTTTAACATGGGTGAACATTGGTACGGAACCCATAGAAATGTAAACAAAATTTATACTTATTATTAAAATCTCTATAAAATATCTAATAATTTGATGTGCATATGTCTAATGATCATTTTTGACCGCCAAATGGCATTTTTTTTTACTTTTTTTACTCGATCTACGAAACCGCTAGACCTGCCTTCATGATAATTTGATCAGATCTTGTTATTACAAGTAAAATATTTTTTGAATTTTTAAAATCGGACGCTCCGTTCTCTTAAAACCCGTGTTACCGTTTTTTTGACGAAAATTTATATCCGCACACACACACACACATACATCCATTTTTTTTAAGGTATGCCAAAATATTCAGAAACCTTTGAAACGTAAAGATATATAAAAATTTTCATTTTCGATTTTTTTTGCGATTACTATAACTTGCCCTACGGGAAGTTAATAATTATTAATGAAATATAACGATTATTTATACATTTTTACGCATTTTAACATCTTTATGCATTTTTCAATAATAGTTTTTAACATATTTTTAATTATTAATGCACAATTCTATTTTTTTTTCATACATTAACGAATGTTCATACATACTTTTAAATATTTATTCACATTTATATACAATACAATATATGATATTTCCATGTCACAATGTTCGCTCCAATACTCCTTCGAAACGGCTTAACCGATTTTTATCAAATTTTATATTCGTATACAGTAGGTCTTGTTCACCCTCAAGTTTTTTTAAATTTTATTTTTAAATTTTTAAGCGATTTTTTTGTTTTTATTTTCAAATAATGTGGCATTAAAAATAAAAACAACCCTAAATTGTTACTTCTTTATCACCAACCCCTATTTTTGTATAGCCATTTTAGTAATTAAATAATTTCTCATTTCGCGCTTTGACATAATTTTAGTTTAGATTTTTTAACTTGAATCTTACTTTCAAAAACAATTTATTTTTATCAAGAATTGTCCTCCTCTCCCATTTCCCCAGTGTACAAATATTTCCCGATGCGCACAAACAATACATAATTAATAAATAATTTGATATATATTATAATAAATTCATAAAAAAAATTACGCACTTTTATAAGTTCTGAAACTTTTTAATATACGCATTTTAATACATTCAAACACTTTTTAAATTTTTTATCAATATGTATAAATGTGTAAAACGTGTAGAAATATTTAAAAGTATATAAAAATATATAAAGATAAATAAATATGAATGTAAACTAGTGAGGTGTATGGCATCGTGCCTTAAAGCAAATTGCTGGAACTTGCCGTACCGTAACGAAATGTTCGAGGAATACTGAATGTTTTCAAATAGATTATTATAAATATTGTAACATTGTCTAATATTTATAAGAATTATATAAACTGAATTGCAAAGTTGAAATTATTTGTTTAAAATATATTAGAACTTTAGTCAGAATTAAAAATAAAATCTAAATTATTTTCGATATATTATACAAAAACTTTAGAAGAAAAATTGAAACAAAAATTTTTTTTCCAAAAGCAATTATTTTGTTAAAACAAGCAAAAAGTTCTTTGAATCATTTAAATCGGACTCTTAGTTCTCTCAAAAACTGCCATTTTTTTACATTTAGCTCTGTATCTCCAAAATAGCTGGGCCTACCTTTGCCAAAAACTAATAACAACATCTCCCAATCATTACTAATTGAATGTTTTTTAGATCATTCAAATCGGATACTCCGATCTCTCAAAAAGCCGATTTCTATTTTCTCCACTCTTTGCTTCGTATCTTCGAAACGACAGGACCAACTTTTGCCAAATATTAGCACTAATCCCCATCAATAGGAATCGATTGATTTAACATCCATTGAAATCGGTTAAGCTGTACTCCCGAGAACGTCGACGAACAATTGTATCCACACACACACACACAAACACACACATTCATTTTTTCGAATTGTAAGCAATGCCAAAATGTTCAGAAACCTCTGAAATATAAAGCTATGCAAAAATTTTCATTTTCGATTTTTTGCGATTACAATAACTTACCGGGAAGTAAAAATGTGTATGAATGTGTAAAACTGCGTTAACATGAGAAAAAGAGCGTAAAAATACGTACAAAAATGTGTAAAATGCCTCATTCTAACAATAAGTCTAAATATAAATAAAAAAATGAATGAAAATATGCATAAATTCGTATAAACTTACATAGACTTTTAAAAATTTAGCAAAAAGTGTAAATAATAATCAGACACTAGAGGAGTATGCATCGTGCCTTGAGGCAAATTGCTGGAACTTTCCGCAAAGAAAATTTTTAAACAAAATTTAAATCAACTTATCCTATGGGATGACAAATGTGTTTCAATGTGTAACACAGTGTTAACACGAGTAAAAGAGTGTAAAAATACGTACAAAAATGTGTAAAATGTCTCATTCCAACAATAAGTCTAAACATAAATGAAAAAGTGTATTAAAATATGAATAGATTCGCATAAACTTACATAGACTTTTAAAAATTTAGCAAAAAGTGTAAATAAAAACGACTCGTAGATACTATACGGATTTTTATCATGTCTTAAAATAAATCTATTCACACAATATATAATTTATAGTACATCTTCTAAAATATTTCATTTATCCAGAAATTAACTAACGGTATGGAACCTTTCTCTAACGTCACTAAAATAACTAACTAAACGTATTAATAAAGAAAAAGCTGCTAAAAAGTTATGTAAATTCCGTTTGACGAACCCGATTCGACCGGTCGGTCGAAAAAAAACAAGAAAAAAAAACTAATGGGACCGGCTTCTGGAATTAGAGAAATTTCATATTGTCGAAATCGGATATAAAAAAAATTACATAAATAAATATATAATAACTAGTGGTGTATAGCATCGTGCCTTAAGGAAAATTGCTGAAACTTCCGGCACCAATTTGTTTTTCAAAAAGATTTTTGAAATCTTCAAAAATTTTAAAGAGAATTTTTTAAAAAAAAAATAGATTTTTGAGAATTTTGTAACTTTATGGAACTTTTGAAAAAAGACATTTCTGAAACAAAACTGAGTTTTTTTATATTTTGAAATATTTTGGGATTTTTTAACTTCATTAAGTAAAT